ATTATAAACATGCTAAACATGCCCACATGGATGCAATTTATAATTTAAAATATTTAATTAGTTTAATTAAAATTAATAATAAATAATTATTTGTAAAAACCCAAAACAAGCCCCCCTCAAACTTTTTCTATGGCAAATTTGAAAACTTGCTTATTATAAACATGCTAAACATGCCCACATGGATGCAAACTTTTAGAAAATGGTAGGTAATTTACTAATAATTTCCTTTTTAAATGCCGTTTAAATTAATTTTTTCAATGCATTTAATAATTAATAGTTATAATTTGATAATTATTATTGTTTATAATTCAAAATATATAATTTATTTAAATAAAACCAACAATTAACAACTATTTTCAAAAAGCTAAAACAAATGCCCTTAAATAAATAAATACTAGCATTTGATATTTTGATGGGCAAAAACATTTCTTTTAAATAATAAAAATAAAAAGGTATTGAACTCAAAGCACACAATGTTAACCACTAGATTAATGAGTAACTTCATTACAAATCAGATGGGCTCTATCCCTCCCTCATTACCAACAAAAAAGGGAAAAAAAAAAAAAATCATCTCGCTTGTAGTATTAAGCTGTTGGAATGTATATTGTTAAGCCTTGGTTTCAACCATGAAAATTGTTATCCAATATAAAAATAATAATAATATAAAAAGGTAAAAATGGAAACTGATATTATCGATGGGCTTTTGTTAGAGCCCATACATGCCAGACCTCATTTTTTTCGGACATAACCAGATCTCCTCGTTTGTATGACTAGACATCTGATCTGTTTTTCTTTGGGCCAATTGTTCAACAAGAATCCAAACAGGGCCGATTCTGCATTATGCTCAACAGTCAACAGTCAACAGTCTCGTGTCGTACTGTGTCACATCACTTGTAACGGTAAACTCAAAGTTCATCTTCATGCCATGTTTTCTTAGTTTACCTAATTATTAAATAATGACAAAAAGAATGAAAATTTAAAATTAATGATATAATTTATAGTATATTATTAAATTAATTAATATATATAATATTATAACTTTAAAAAAAAGTCAATAATGAAATATTATAAAATTTATTTTTTAATATTTTAAATGATATAATTTATGTTATATTATTTATCATTATTCCTAATTGTTATATCATCACACTACATTTCTTCTTAAATTTTTTATTTTTATTTTTTAAATAAATTTAAAAATATAATAATTAATTAAAATAAAAAAATATGATATTAATAAGGAAGAATGCAGCAATAATAACTTCATTTGTTGATTAAATTATAAAAATTAGATAAAATCCTAAATTTTAAAATTAAATGCACATGAGAAATTAGAAATGGATAAAATACGGTTTATTATTTTCTTTTCACTTTTACATAGAGTTTTTGATTTGATGATTTATATAATAAATAAATAATAATTAAAATTTGTTATCTAAGTAAAAATACTCGATAAATATTATATATAGAAAAAAATTTAATTATCATTTATTTATTATATAAAATCATCTAATTAAACTTTATATAAAATCATCTAATTAAACTTTATGTAAAAACCAAATCAAGACAATTAAATTCAAGCTATATATTACTATGGCTCTTTTTTTACTTTGCTAAACTTAATAATGAAAATATCAATAAGAGTTTAACTAAATTTAACATCTGTAAATTTCAAATTTTGAGTTAAGTAAAGGTTAAAAATTCAAGGCTCTGTTTACTATGATTTTAGTTTTTAATTTTTAGTTTTCACTTTCTTTATATTCAATAAATACTACTATTATATTTAAAAATCTTTTTTTTTTCAGTACATTGGGCAATGCTTACAACATTGGATTAACTAGTGGCATGTGGCCTACAAATTCCTAAATTATCTTCTTGAAGAAGAGATCGAATCACATCAAGGGGTTGTTCAAAATAAAGGAAACCTCCTCCTAGGTGATAAAACTGAGATGCCATTGCATCTGCACAAAAGTTTTGCTCTCGAAACACATGTCGAATTGCACATGTCCAATCTCTTTTCATGAGAGACTTGCACCTTTGAACCCAATAAGTCAATGATGTCATTGTTGTGAAGCTACTTTGCAATTTTTGAATAGCTAAAAGAGAATCTATCTCCACAATAACATGTCGAAACCCCATGTTCCAAGCTAGCTCCATGCCTTTCCATAATGTAAAAAGTTCTGCACAAATGGCGTGGCCATCACCTAGCTGTTGATTGAAGCCAAACAACCAATGTCCTAATGCGTCACGGCAACAGCCTCTAGTCGCTAAAAGGCTAGGTGAACCACGAGCAGAACCATCAACATTTCACTTAACAAATCCACTTGGTGGAGGATCCCAACCTACTTGAAATTCCCTTCTCGGGCCTACATGATGTTGCTTCAAAAGGGAAGCAGCCTCTATGAAATGATTCTTCAGCATAGACTCCTTATTGGTGGTCCATGTAAGGTCATCATCGAAAGTTGCTTTATTCCGTCCAAGCCAAAGATACCAACAAACAATTGCAAAGGCCACACCCCACTCTAAGTCAAACTCAATCGTAACATTTGTGCATGAAAGATTATGTTTGATCCATGTCAAGTGGTTCATCTGCTGCCAACGAAGCCAAAGACTATCATTAATCCACCTCTTCCATATCCTTCTAAATACCGAACAGTCCCTAAATAGGTGTAGAATATCTTCGCGGTGAGTATAGCAACGAGGACAAGTATTATTCTGTGCAATCCCTCTTGCAAATCTAGCACTATTGGTTAGAACTCTATTATGCAACATGAGCCATAATAAGTACTTGGCCTTTGGAGGTGCTATTAAACTCCATACCTTGTCCCTAAATCAAATTTTTTTTTATAAAAATTACAATTTAGTTAATTTAATTTAAATATAGTATTAATTAATACCTATTAAAAAAATAAAAACCACAAACCTAAAAATCATACTAAATGAAATTTAAAATTTTTATAACCAAGTACTAATCCTCTAATATACTTAAAAAAATTATATAACGTATTAATTTCCTTTTATTCCCAAACTTTATTATTTTTACCTCTATTTTTTACATAACTTTGTTCTTTTTTATTATTTTTAATTTGTTTCAGTTGCTTAGTTAAAAAGAACACTTATTTATTCAAGGCTTAAAAAAATAAAATTAAAAAATAAAAAATAAAACAAGAGTTTAGTGGAATTCAAATCGAAAAAAATCTCAAAACACACCTGCCAGTTGTCTCCTGATGCCTTGCGGATGCCGAAACAAAGTACACGTGAGATAATCATGGATATCACGATGATGCCATGTCCATTATGATCCAAACAGTTACAATTCAACGTATATTTAATTAATAATTATAAATTTTTTAAAAAT